TACACATCTCACATCATTCTACCTACAGCTTCTATTCTCTGAACACTCACTATCCATCAGCTATTTATTATGAGTATTTATCATAATGATGAGTGTTTTCTTACTCAGTGTGCTTTATAACAACATGTTAACAATAATACAAGGTCTGGATTACCCTGTTATGCTCAAGCTTGTTAGCTGCAGGCATTGGCCTTGCTCACTAAACATCTCAAGAATTTGGCACAGCTAACACTCACTGTCCAGGGAAAGTCTAGCAGGAGGCATTTGATAAAGAAAACTGAACACAGCTAAGAGTCAAACAGAAGAACAAGAGGTAATATTGGAATTGCAAATCAGAGTATAAGATTATCATTTTACCCTATCTCATTTATAAATAAATATGGATGCAATTTAGGTTTCAGAGGCAATAAAAAATGAAAAACGAAGGTAGTGACCCTTTTTTCTAGCTACTGTTGTCTGCTCCCTGATAAAGCGCTGAACAAAAATTCAATGAAATAACTGTGCAAATAGAGAACTCCAGCAGTCAAAAGAGGTAGTCTGAGCAGAGAGGCAAAGCTTGCTCCAGAACGTACCAGGGATTCGAGCCTCCAGAGTGCTCACAAAATCCCACATGGCCAGAGGACACCAGGGGTTGTTTGGGTTTTTTAAACCAATTCTTCTGCTAATGCACCTTGTATAAAACACATATCATTAGGCTTCAGGGAGAGATTATGTTGCGTAAAGGGCAGTAAAGTCAGTTTAAGGATATTTTTCATTCATATAGTACTTAGAAACAGTTTCACCATGACTGAACATTTGGCCAAAAGTCCAAAATAAACTTTGCTAAGGAGACATGCAAATATAGGTTTGTAATGAAAAGAAAATAAAAATGTGGCTCATCAATCCTTTATGGGAGAAAGTGAATGCTTTGATAGGACTTAATCAGTATTTACTGCCCCAGTAGCACTTAGCTGTGTAATAGCAGCAGTGTAAATAGGTGAAATGAGAGTAAGGCTATTTAGTTGGATAGAACTATAGGATTAGGCCCTTAAGTTCAGGCAGCCAAATACATCTCCAAAAAATAACTACACTTACAGTAGTTAAATTGCAGTCATTCCTGAAGAGAAGACAATTCATAAATAAAAACGCAGCTGTGTAGGAAGATGTCTACAAAGATAGCTGATGGTCAAGTGTTGGAAGAATTAAATCTTTACACAGGGAGAAGAGTAGCTGTTTTAATGAGTACTCTCTCCCACTTCTCAACATCTTCTCTTCAAATACATCAAAACAAAGCCTGGAATAGTTCTTCAGGAGAGAGGTTGGACTCTGAATTCTGTGAGGAATAACCTCATTAATTTTGTGGCACAGCTTGCTGGGGTTTTCTTTTTGCCTTTTCAATCTTACTATATATTTTAGATCATGGTAAATGATGTCAGATACACTGTGTCCCTGTAATGTTTTAATATAAATAACGTCTCACATAGATTCAACTTTTTAACTGTAGAAATGTTAAATATGGGAAGAAACAAACTGTAATGGGCATTACATCTCTAAAGAGAAATCTTTCCTCAAAAACATAAAAAAAAAAAGAGTTTATGAACATATCATGAATAACCTGATGAAATAAGAGATCTTAATCAAAAACAAAGTTCGTGGACAGGCTTGAAAATTGGTATTTAAATGGGAAGATTTTTGAAAGAAACAGGTTATGAATTAAAATTTCTTCAAATTGACTGTGAGACTACATCTGAAATAATCTAAACAGTTTAAAAACAGTAATCCTGTTAAACACCATTCAAATGCCATGCAGGGACATACTACGTCTATCTAGGACTAACTAGATTTAACTATAAATCCTGAAGTACTTCATTATTCTCCCTCCAGATGAGGCAATACTGACAACACTGATGGCCCAAACCACTGGATACTCATTGCCAACAGAAGCCAGCAAGTTCTAAACTGTCTCTTTTCCACTTACAAATAAGAAAGAGATGAACACAGAAAATCATATATGAAGAATAAGAAAGAGATAAATGTGGTCCTCTGAAGTCAAATAAAATTATCAAGACAGGAAACTTTATAAAGCTTTTTCTCCAGTTGAAGCAGAAACCCAGCTGGGTATATCATACGTGCAAGAAATAAGGGCATGAGCAAAATTTTGACAAGTGGGTTGATGGAATAAGATTGGATTTCCACAAAGCATTCAGAACAGACGAATTTTTGGATGAGCTTGCAGAACAGCCTGATCTTTAGAAGCCTTGTCAGGATGCCAAACTGGGACAATCCCTCACTGAAAAACAACTTTCCAGGATATGGTACTAAAGACACTGAGAACAAAATAATTCTAAAAAGATTTTCATTAGTTTAGCCAGAATAAAGTTAATAATCCATTACGTAACTGCTTCTTTCTTTACTAGCTTGTTAAAAATGTTAAATTCTCCCCTATAAAAATCTTACAGCTAGAGGCTGACAGAGATTAGCTTATTCTTCTTCAAAGTCATTAAATAAATAATTAACCAACAATAGCTGGTAAGTTACCTTGACAACAAAGAACTACTAATATGAGATTGCCCAAGGGAGAAGGAGCCAGGGATTTCCAAACCATGGTGTTAATCAAACTACTTCAAAGCAGTGCAAGGACTCGGTGTTGGCAGGCGGTCACTGCCTCTGGTGGATTCATGCAGCCTGACATGGAGCTGGGAGCTACTGGAGCCTCTGGCAACAAGGGTAATTTAGTGATGTACTTCTGTACAGCAAAAGGTCAAAACTATTTTTTAAGCAAGAAAAAAAGAAAACAGAAGATTGGAAGTACCTGAATTGCAGGACCATTAATAACATGCCAGTCATACTTGGAAATTAATATGAACTGTATGCCCACAAGGTGTTAAATAAGATGTTTTGGCAAAGCCTATGAATAAAATGCAGCTAAGGAACACTTCAGACATAACTGTACATGCTAAAAGCATCCTATACTCAATCTGTAGAAACTTTAAGATAACACAAGATATACTGGGGGAAGCTAATTTGCTAAATCTCACATGTGCCCTTCACCTTTCATGATATTTCATTCCAGTGGGGCTGGACATGACAGTTATGGAATCAACTTCCAAAAGGCAAACTTTATACCTCTGTATGTCTTCATATCTCTTTCTCGTTTCTAAGTTCGTAAAGAAGGAGTTAACGGGCAAAGCATAACATTACTGTTTCATTTTCTTAAAGACAGTTTCTAAAGTGGTTTAATGTTTCTGGAAGATAGAATCTGAGAATGTTTTGTTTCTCAAAACTCACGT